GAGGTAAGGAAGGACTGAGCGATGAACATATATAACCGAAGGATTCCGAATATGGGGAGGCAAGAGATCCACAATGGAATGTTCATCAAAGACGCCACGAATGGAAAGGCAGTGGCTATGGTTCCGACGTACGCGGAGGAGGAGTTCCGAGGTGGGTGAAATATCACGGATTTCAGCAAGGAAATCTGCGAGATAGCCCTTTTCTGCCTTGCGATGGCGTTCTGCCGGATCAAGGTTGGTGACAATTCCAACAAGTATGCCAATTACGTACGCAAAGATCATCGTACCAAGAACTTGAGAGATTATGGTAACCGTGAGACCGGTCCCGTTTCCTAGGGTCGGGTATACATCACCATACCCCACTGTTGTCATTGTCGCAAATGCCCAATACATAGTTGTCAGGTATTGCGTGGTCCGCTCTTCATTCCTCAATTTTGCACTATCATCCATTTCGTCATCAGCACGGTCAAGCCAGCTTCTATCGTGGGCGCGGGCTGCTGCAAAGAAAACGCATGTCAAGGCATGGGCTACCGCACCCATGACTACCAGTGGTTTCCCAAGCTTCAGTAATGCAGGATTGATCCCAGCTTCATCTTCAAGCTGTTCAGAAAGTTCATTAAGCTTCAGTTTCTGCTGAATTTTTATTAATCGAACAAGGCGGAGTGCTCGCACCATCTTGAATGCCCGGAAGGCGGAATTCGCTTGTCCGTCCGACAGACAATTGACCTACGTGTAGGTCATACATCATTTCATACATGTCGTTGTTCAGTTGAGTGCCCTGGGCTAGACAAACTTGTCGATGGGCAATGTAGAGGCAAGGTCAATGATTAGCCACCCAGATGCATACTTCTTAGCTATTTGCTGCTGGGAGTAAATCATCCTTTGGTCTGATTCACTAAAATACGCTGTTTGAAAAGAAAGCGCCATGTCAAGGGCAAAACATAGATCAATGCACAGGTCAATACCTGCAGAGCACATTGGAGCTAAAACTCTACGTAGGACGCAGGGGGTCGCTCGTCCATCCATTTCTTGGCCAGGAACAGGCATGCTCCTCGACGCCGAAAGCAATAGTGTAGGTGATCGAACGATCGAGAA